CATGGTGGACGAACGAACGGAGGTTGCGCGTGGATACGAACGATAGGCGACGATGAGATCGACGAAGACGCACTGGACTCAGAGCTGACGCTACAGCTCACTGACGGTGAAATAACAGCTGCACAACAAAGCAGTCGGTTAGTATAGAAGCCGTTCACAGCAGGCGACTATCACGGCATGAAGGTGAAGCGTGTGTACGGATTGGTGGTTGTGAACACGAAGGACGGACGGCGCGTGGTGTTGCCACCCGCGCTATGGGCAATTGTATTTACGAAAATGCATGGATCGGTATGGGCAGGTCATCTGCGTGGACCTCATACCTACGGACACATAGCACAGCTGTACTGGTGGCCAAACCTACAGCATGAAGTCAGCAAATGGGTGCGTGGATGTCAGGAGTACGGCAGTCGGAAGGACTGACCGCGCGAAGTCATCCCACCTCTACGGAGTATACGTGGCGGCGACGTTGGTGACAGGTGGGCGCTTGACGTAGCTGGACCATTCCCGACGGCGAACGGCGGCGAACGATTCGTAATAGCGGCGCTTGAGTATGTGACGCGCTACGCAACGGCACGATGCGTGACGCAACACACGGCGGAGAATGTGGCGACGTTCCTGATGGAAAAAGTAGTGCTGAAATTTGGGGCATTCAGGGAATTGTTGACGGACGGTGCTCCTGAGCTCACGGGCAACGTAATTGAGCACTTAGTGAATCTGCTGCAAGCAAGACAGGTGAACCCAGTATCTTACAGGCCTCAGATGGTAGGACTGGTGGAGCGTTTCCATCGCTCATGGAAAGATTGTGCAGCTACGTACATGACGGACGAGCAACAGAACGATTGGAACTTGTGGGTTACGTTCGCAATGTATGCCTATAACTCAGCAAGACACTCGACAGTGGCGCTCACGCCGAATGAGTTGATGATGGGGCGACGGCTTCGCTCACCCAACGAATTGTTACGAACTACGGGGACTACGGAAGCCGGTGATTTACCCAGCTAGCACGAACGGTTGCTAGCGGCGATAACGAGGAGTCACGAGTGTGCGGAAGCGGCGAGAGTGAAGGAACAGGAGCGGCAGGCTCGGTTCTACAATAGGAAGGCGCGACAGAAGCGTAAATTCGTGATTGGTGATCGTGTCTGGGTCTATAATCCACCACGGGGCGCTAAAGCGACGAAATTTGTACACCAGTGGATGGGTCCAGCACGCGTTGTGGAAGTGGCAGGTTACGATAATTTTGTCCTGCACCGAGAAGAAAAGAACGGAACGCCAGAGCGGACCATTGCTCACATTTCATTTTGGTTAGTTATCACTATCCGACTGCATTATTGGAGAAGGCAACAGTGGACATCGACGCGCAATTGCAGCATGAAGAGCAAGCCGAAGTGGACGATGGCGAGAAGGCCACAGCGGCTATACGAGCAGCAACTACACGACGCCATGCGGCAACAAAGGGCGGAGCTTCAGCTGCTTCTGCTCGACGGACGAAACGAAAACGAACAGCAGTGGCGAGCTCGGACGGAACCGACAACACGAGTGG